GACTCGATGATCTATTGAGGTCCCTTCCGGCCCTAACATCTATGAATCTATGAACCCTGACTACCTAGGGGTCAAACCCCCTCCCGCCCTGTGCTGTTCTCTTGCAGCATGGAGAACAACTGAATGTGCGTTACGTGCATGGCCATGCTTGTGGCCACTGTGTACATTCATCAGAGTGCAGAATTTGTTCCACTGTTGCTACATATGGAGCACATACTTTTGTTCAATTATGACTAACAGAGACACATCTGTATAGAGCTGGGATGGGTAAAATACAGCCCGAGGGCCAGATCCAGCCTGCCAACAGTTTCAATCTGGCCCATGGGTGGACAGCTGCTAACTCATTGGATCTGGTCTGCGGGTGGCTGGCAGCTCCACTCAACAGCATCAGCCCTTGACATGGTGGCAGAGATGACCCAAGCAGGGTGCAGGGCCCGGGGCAAACCAGCCTGAGCGGGGCCCTGCCCCTGGACACGAGGAAGCTGGTGGCAGATATGGTGGCGGGGTGCTGAGTGGCTGGACATGAAGCTGGTGACAGCGTGGAGTCGCTGTGCCACTCCGCCCAGCTCCACGGTCCCCCTAAAGTGCAGAGCCTGGTCACCCTGACTCGCAGCCCCCCAGGGACGGCCCTGTGTGGAGGCATCAACCAACGAACTAGTAGGCAGGGCTTCTGCCACAGTGGCTAGGCATCGTCAGCTGTGAACACCGCTGGCAAGTTTAGGAGTTCAGATGCAGAACCTGCCAGTGGTGTCCAGAGCTGATGCCGCCACCCTCTCAGCATGGTGGAAGCTCCCAGCTGGAGTCCCAACCTGGAGCCTGCTGGCCGTGTCAGCTGTGGACCCAGACAGGAGCTTCTGTTGTGCCAGGTGGGCATCAGTATCAGCTCTGGACACTGCCAGCAGGTTCCGCATCAAGGCTCTGGGACCTGCTGGCTGCACCCACAGCTGACACCACCGCATGCCTGGAGCAGCAGAAGTTCCTGCCTGGGTCCACAGTGGAGCATTAGGACTTCTGGCAAACTACAGCTCCAGCCAGGTTCTGGAAGGAGGACAAGGGGGAGGGACGAGAGACGGAAGAGAGAGAGAGAGAGATGGATGTGGCCCTCAACAGGTCCCCAAAACACATTAAGTGGCCCTCTAGCTGAAATAATTGCTACCCCTGGTATAGAGTGAAAATGGCCTTGGGATACCATATTCAACTATTTTCAGATGAAATGGGCTTCGTTTTAAAAATAAAAGGGTTGGTTTTCTATTTACCAGTGCTACAAACTCACCATGGAAACTGAAAATCAAGCTGGCTTCCTTCTTATAGTTTCATAGATGTTAGGGTCGGAACGGACCTATTAGATCATCAAGTCTGACCCCCTGCCCTGGGCAGGAATGAGTGCTGAGGTCAGATGACCCCAGCCAGGTGTCTGCCCAATCTCCTTCTACACATCTCCAAGGAAGAGGACAGCACCACCTCCCTTAGAAGCTTATTCCATATTTTGGCAACCCTCACTGTAAAGAATTTTTTCCTGATGTCCAATCTGAATTTGTTCTCTTCCAGTTTGTGGCTATTATTTCTAGTTACCCCAACAGCACCCTGGTAAACATTGTATCCCCTATTTCTTGCTGCCCCCCACAATGAGTTTGTAGGCAGCCACAAGATCACCTCTCAGCCTCCTCTTATGGAGGCTGAAGAGGTTCAGGTCTCCCAGTCGGTCCATATTGGGTTTTTTCTGTAGGCCTTTAACCAGACGAGTGGCCCTCCTCTGAACCCACTCCAGGCCATCCACATCCCTCCTGAAGTGCAGTGCCCAAAACTGGACGCAGTACTCCAGCTGTGGCCTGACCAATGCCGCGTAGAGGGGAAGTATCACCTCCCTGGACCTGTTTGTGATGCACCTACTTATGCAGGAAAGGGTGCAGTTAGCTTTACTTATTACCTCATCATCACACTGGTGATGCATCACTTAAATCAGGGGTGCTCAACCTCTGGCCCATGGGCCAGATCTGGCCTGTGGTATCATGTCATCCAGTTCCTAAGGCTCCACATGGTTCTGGAAACTTGGAATTGAGGGAGAAATGCTACTGCTCCCCTACTGTCAAATCCCAGCCCACAGGAAACCCTGGGCCTTGCACACTGGATCCAGCACCAGATCTCAGCATGCAGGACTGAGTGGGGGTGATGTTAGCCCCAGGGCCCAATCCCAGTGTGGGGCCAGGACAGGGTGGTGCTGGGCCTGGTTACCTAAGGTAGTAGCTAACAAGAAACCACTCAGGAATAAAGCTGTCCTAGGGAGGTGAGAAGGGAAGAGAGCCTAGGGAGGCTTCTGCAGCCCCTGTTGAGTTCATTATTAAACTACAAATGATGAAGATGAAAGAACTGGGCCTGGAAACAAAAAAAAAATCTTCCAATCTTTAGGCTCGCTAGTTCTGCTCTGTGGCTTTTACTTTATTTAAATTGTTGATTTAATTGAACCAAATGGACTCATGTTTTCAACGGGTGTCCAATTTTGCATCTGAAAAGCAAACACGTAATTGTATATATTCTATTTACAAACACAACTGGTTAATTTTACAGAGCTGCAATTGTGAAAATTCTTGTTTTAAAACCCAGGCAATAATCGCTGGATCTATTCTTTAATATTTGGGCATCTTTTCCTATTTAAGGTCATAAATGGTACTTTGGCATATCTAGACGCCAAAGAAGCAATTTGACTTCTCTAGTGTATAATTAAATGCATACATTTGAAATGTACTTTTTGTATTTTTTTAAGCAAATGCTAATATAACACAAAATATACAAGGAAACGTTCATAGTTGGGACTGTTGTAGATTACAAGAAGAATACACTGTCTTCTTGGATTTGCTAGTCAATTCTCTCAAAGATCTGGTGTAGTTCAAGACTCTGCACTTCATAGACCTTGACTTTTTCTGCCCTTTACCAAATTATTTCTCTTACTTATTTTGGCTGGGAAATGAATGCATGAACTGTTAGCACCTGTGATTTTAATCTGAAGCCAGGGGGCCAATGCTTTTGACATTTAAGTATGCCATATTATTGTGCTGACTGACACCATATAATGTGACATAAAAGATCAAATACTGGTTCCTTGTTAAATTATTAATTAAATACATCCTGAGTCTTCACTGCAAAAAGTTACTGTTATTCATAACAGCATTTTCTCAGTCTGAAATAAGCATTTTGGAACTGTATAATCAAAGTTCATTGTTGACAGATTTCCTTCTTCTGTTTCAATCTGCAGGATTGATGCTGGATGGCAGGAAGTCAAAAGCTAGATTCTCTGTACTACAAATGCACACACTGAAAAGAAATGTTGGCAAACATCACCACGGTACTGTGAAAGATCAAAATATCCTCCCTTATGTGGTTACTTATCCAGCTTTTTGAATTATTCTTAGCGTGGTCTTTAACAGAAACAGCTCATTAGATATCCAGAAAGAAGACATTGCTGCAAAGAAAGTTTCCTGGTGGACCAACAAGGTCATAACAATGGCTATGTAATATCCTTTTACATTGCTATGTCATCTGTACAATCTGAGACATGGCAAAATTGGACAAGGCAAGGTGGTTGCATCATCTAATATTTGTGGGAACCTTTTCCTCCTTTGAGATTATAGAAACATCTCTGAGGAAACCTTGTGACATTACCTCCAGCAGGAAATCGTTTGCAAAATAAAAAGGAACAAAAACAACTACAACTCCTTTGTTTCCAGACTTTGCTCTGAAGTAGCTGGAGGTGAAAGAGGATTGTGGATATTTGTATGATAATAAGTACATTAAGCAGTTATCTTGCTTTGCTTTAGAAATCTCACTTACAGCACTGCCTAAACAAGCCTATTTGTTACACAGTGGCTTGGGGGCCGACTAAACAAGAAGTCTGTTAAGCTGGCACCAGCTAAAATACCTAGGCTGCAGCTTAATTAGTAGTTACCTTCAAACCATTTTACAGCACTCTGGTAGTATAGACATGTACATTTGGTGGAAACTACAACCTGAGGGTATCCTCACTGCATGCTTCCCTGGTGCATGCAGTCTCATGACAGGGATCCTGGTTTCCTCTGTTTAAAAATCACAAATTCTTGGATTAAAATCCCATGAATTCTTTGATTTTAAACCCCCAAAATCCGCATTCTTCTGTGCTTAAAATGAAACAGTTTCATAGTTGGTAGGGTTGGAAGGGACCTGAGTAGTTCATCAAGTCCGACCCCCTGCCCCGGGCAGGAAAGAGTACTGGGATCAAACGACCCTGGTGAGGTGATTATCCAGCCTCCTTCTGAAGACCCCCAGAGTAGGAGACAGCACCAATTCCCTTGGAAGTTGGTTCTAGATCCTAGCTGCCCTGACTGTGAAGTAGCACCTCCTGATATCTAGCCTGAATCTACTCTCTGTCAACTTATGGCTATTATTCCTCGTTACTCCCAGTAGTGCTCGGGGGAACAGGGACTCTCCCATTGCCTTGGCCAGTTTATAGACGGCCACCAGATCCCCTCTCAGGCTTCTCTTGTGGAGGCTGAACAAGTTCAGGTCTCGTAGCCTCCCCTCGTAGGGCCTGCCCTGCTGCCCCCTGATCATGCGAGTGGCCCTCCTCTGGACCCTCTCCAGGCTGTCCACATCCCTCCTGAAGTGCAGCGCCCAGGACTGGACGCAGTACTCCAACTGCGGCCTGACCAGTGTCGCATAGAGGGGGAGGATCACTTCCTTGGACCTGCTCGTGATGCATCTGTGGATGCACGACAAGGTGCGGTTGGCCTTCCTGATCACGTCCCCACATTGGCGGCCCATGTTCATCTTGGCATCAATGATGACTCCAAGATCCTTTTCTGCCTCTGCACTGATCAGAAGGGAGTTCCTCAGCCTGTAGGTATGCTGCTGGTTCTTCCTCCCCAGGTGCAGTACCTTGCACTTGTCAGTATTGAATCCCATCCTATTCTCATCCACCCACCCCTGTAACCTGTCCAGATTCAATTGCAGCCTGTCCCTCCCTTCTAGCATGCCCACTTCTCCCCACATGTTAGTGTCATCTGTGAATTTGAACAAGGTGCTTTTCACCCCCTCGTCCAA